TTTTTAGTATTATCATTATTATTATTATCAATGATGTATTATTACCACACAAAAAAATCACCACTAAGCCTGTCATCATCATCATCATCATCATCATCATCATCATCATCATCACCATCATCATCATCACCATCATCATCATCATCATCATCATCATCATCATCATCATCATCATTTAACAGTACTCAATCAGTCCTTTGTCTCCCTTATGTCGTTGGTATAATGATCATGTTATTATGATAATTGGTACATGTACTGTATTTAGATTAGTCTCGATATCTCTCCTGAGTTAGTTAAGTACTTTTTATTAACAAAAATATGTTTGTCATGGTGCTGAATCTCGCTTCGCTTCGTCAACAGATACTGTGTATGCTTGTAACTGCACCGTGGATTGTGTGAGCTCTTGCCCTGCTGGGCAGTATTATGACAACGGTGTGTGCCAGGACTGCCCGCCTGGTTATTAGTAAGTAACCTGTTAAAGTGGTAGAATTACTGAGTCCATAGTAATACATGTACTTATTTTTCCAGGCAGCAGTTTTCTTTTCTCCTCTTTTTTTCTTTCTTTTTTTTTGTTGTTTTGTTTGTTTTTTGTTTGTTTGTTTGTTTTTTGTTTTGTTTTGTTTGTTTGTTTGTTGTTGTTTGTTTTGTTTGTTTTTGTGTTTTTTAGGGGGGCGCTTTATTTGGATATTTTCTTATCTGGCCATTGATTATTAGTAAGCAACCTTGTTGAACCCGTTAGTATGGTAGAGTCAATGTGGCCATGATTTACTGTTATGCTTTTTCCGGGCTTGAGGTTTCGAGGGGAGAAGTAAACATCTTTGTTTTGTTTGTTGTATCGCTTGCTGCATGGTTATGTTGTTCTGGACTAATATTTCCCTTACTCCCTTTATCTTTTTATCGCAAGCAGGTGTTGAACGAGTGCCTATAATATTATATTTGGTTGGGTTTTTTTTACTGAGAGCGGATTTTTTTCCCTTTTTTTTTGCCAGGTTATATTTTGACATTAGTGGCTGACCTGGGCATTGGTGTAATTCAGAGAGTGAACGTATCATGTCGGGGGTCCATTACCATCGGCACTAGTAGCCTCCTAGCATGCCAGTATGATTCCTTTTCCTCCTCCTCCTCCTCCTCCTCTTCTTCCTCCTCCTCCTCCTCCTCCTCCTCCTCG